ACTCTCTTGGATCCAGAGAGATCAGAAGTAATTATGTTTTGGGTACATCAGTTTTCTTTTCTAGGCAAATATCTAAGCAGAAATAATACATTTACATTCCTCACAATATTAAGGGCTTTAAGAGGCAGTGGACAAAAACAGAACTGGGTCTTTCCTGCAAGCTTTGTGTGTCCTGGGATGATATTAGAGAAGATGTCTTGCTTAGTATGGTGATTATTTGCTGTCCCTGCATCTCACTTCCAGCATCAGCAAGGTTCTAGAGTGATCAGGCAGATGACCTGGGCATCTCCATCCACATGAGTGTTTGTGAATTTTCTCTTGGCTTCTGAGGTCAGACTTGAGGGTTGTGAAACTAAGCTGCATCCTGTGGACTCTAAATGAGCTTCAGGAGACTGTCTCCTGGTTACCTGAAGGGTGTAAAGTGAAGGAAAAAAGCTAGCTGACCAATGAGACCCTCTTTTCTGCAGAGTGATGGGTTAGGGTTGTCATCCAGAGACTGATAATCTCAAGACTACATTTTGAGAATCTGCTAGGCAAAGTCTTATCTATCAGTTCATTTTTTGAACACCTTCCATGAGCCAAGGGTAGGCTGGGGGAAAGCATTGTGAAGGTCAGGTGCTGGCCCATGTCAGCTGAATCTCAGGGCATTTGGAAGACAATGAATCCTCTTTTGGTATGAAACATCAGTGAGATAAGAGGTAGGCACATACAGAATGTTTTTGTGTATATTTGGCTAGGGTGGGTAGGTATATCTTCTGGGCTGGGGAAATGTGTTCATGGAAGTATGATGTCTCACAATTAAGTATTGAAAAGGCCAAGCTGTCTGAATTCCTAAGGATACAACTGGCTCCAGGCCTCCTTCTTAGTTGCTGGAATTTGCAGGCAATCCTTTATATCTTGCTTTCTAGATCTTTTCACATCTCAGATTGATTTGCAAAGTCATATCTCTCACATTTTCTCTCTATCTCACTTCTCTCCTCTGTTTCTTTACCCCAGCACTGCTCTGCGTGTTCATAAAAATTTTCATACCAGTTTTGGCACATGCTTTTCTCTTATATTTCAATAGGTCCTCAACGTGGTCTCTACAAGACCTATTTAGAAATAAAGTTAATAATCACATTTACAGGATTGGGGCTTCAGCATCAGAAATAACAGAGATCAGCTGATAGACTTCATCAGCCCTTGGTTCCAAGGAACGTGCTTTGGTGGAGAAAGTCCAGAGATCTAGAGAACGTGCATTCTAGGCTGACAATGGGGCGGATCCTCTTTACAGGGACTGTCAAAAGTAGAGAGGTGAGGTTAGGCTATAACAAAGCTCTTTGATTCAACAACCCTGAGGCTCTCTCCTTGCCTGTCTTCTCATGATCTCCTATATGTATTTGACCCAAAGATAGCAGTACCAACCATTCCCAAGCATGTAGAGTGTAACAGGTGGCTCCAGACCAAGGAATTTAACTTTTGTTTGCTGGTTGGAACACCATAATAGTGATGTACATCATGTTCTATCCCATGATTATTGTATGCCTGGTGTGTGTGTGTGTGTATGTATGCATGTGCATGTGTGTTTCCCACTCAAGGTGCCTCTACATAGCCTAGACTGAGCACTGACTTGCCACTGACCTTTTCTTTGTCTATTGATTCAAGATATGGACCATCATATACTTCCTAGAACTGTTTGTTCTAAAGATCTGAGGGCTTAACTGGGCGCATGTGTCTACAGCCAGACCTGTAAAGAGCTAATTGCTGGGAGTCATCCCTGGCGGTGGATGGGTCCAACAAAGGATGTAAGGCATCAGAGGGGAAGGAAGTGAGCCAGGCCATGGTGGTTGAGAGAATCTTGCAGCCTGACTGGCTAGCAGCCAGAGTGTTTCTTTATTTATACAGAATTTAGTTATCAGGAACTAGAACATATCATTTTTTGTTTTGGACTCATGTTTCACTTCCTTTTGCTCATCTTTTAGTCATCATTAATAAACCATGACAGAATAGAGTTATTATTTCCAATAATTTTCCTTCAAGTTTTGACATCATTAATAAACAGTTATCATTCTTACTCATTAACCCCATAGCCCAATTTTTGGAGAATCTAGAGGCATTTGACAGCCTGTGCTCAGGCTGGTTGCTTTGGTTGCTTCAAGGACACTAGACCAAAACAAAATCTTCAGCCACCCTGGGCATTTTGCCATATCTCAAGCAATGTATTATTAACTCTCAGTGGTCAGAGTGCCCAGGAAAAATCCTCAGACAAAAGCTGCTGAAGTTACTATTCAAATTCTGGCATAATACAATCAATGTTCACATTTATATCTTTATAGAATTTGTCTATATGTTTAATCCTGGCATTCTGTTGCTCCTTGGTCATATGACATTATAGTGGCTCTACATGAGCTAACTTCTAAGAGAGGGAGGTCCTCATACTTTTATCATCTTTCCCCTTCATACTTTGCTCATCAGTATGTCTCTGTGTAGGGTAGAGTTGTATGTCACATAATTGTCTGAGTGTACAGTGGGAAGAGCCTTGTAATCTGAACTGTGGCCAACTCCTCTAGCCCATGGGATCTTGTTGACCTTTTTGAATTTACTTTGTTTTGAATATCTTGTTCCAGTGTAAGTACAGGGACAGATGTTTCAAGAGTGTCTCATAGCCTCATGAAGAGACCTCTGGCTTCTTTATGTGTCACAACCTCCCAGGTGTAAGGAAGACCTTCAATAGATAAGCATATCTCCCTAAAAGTGGGGCAGGAATAGTATGTTCAGGACTTTCCTGGGTAAGCTTAGAAGCAGCATTCCTGGGAGAAGGTATAAATGATTCATAAGGAATTTTCCATCAACCCAATATCCTCAAATTGTACAAATATGAAAAGTGCCCCAAGTATGTAACAGGTGGAGATGAAAACCAAAGGTGGCATGGCAGCCATGATGTGGCTCAGTTTTGCTTGATCTTTGTCACGCAGCTGGCTTTATAACTTCTGCCATTCCATTCAGATATGACTGTGCCAGCTAATCACATCTTCACTCACAGCCTCATAGCTTGAGTGAGCTCTGTTTACTCTCAAGGGGAAATTTTTATCACTACCTATGTGACTTCTCTTTGTTTTGAACTCACGAATCTCTAAGAGTCTGAGGATCTTCCCTCATGATGTTTACTTCAGAGGACTCATCACTCCTACTCCCCATCATCCTGACCCAATTTCTTAGCATCATTTATTTCTCATCATTCTGAGTATGGCTCTGAAGCAGGGGAAGAGCCATTCCTGTACAGTGTTTTGAAAGTGAGCCTTCAATTCCCCATAGATAGTTTCTAATGAAGCAGAGAACCAGATCTCTGACTTTGGAAGGAGCGTGTGCCAAAGAAGTTTGTGTGTGA